TGCAGGCTCCAAAATGTAATCGTTGGGGCCACTACATCCGAATGGGTGCCAGTAAAAAGCGGCGTTCCTCAGGCTCAGTCTTGGGTCCTCTCCTCTTCCTCATCTATATTAATGACTGTCCTGCAGACATGGAATGCGATGGCATCATGTTTGATGATGATATAAAGATCTGGAAAACAATCAGCTGCGTTGAAGACGCGCAGAAGCTACAGGAAGATGTTAATAAGCTGGCTGTGTGGTCCAGCAAGTGGCTTCTAGCGTTTAAGGTATCCAAGTGTGTTGTCTTGCGACTAGAATCTGGACGGAGGCGCTTCCCGAAACATCAGTACACCATAAATGGGGTTCCACTAAATGAAGTGGACACGCACAAAGACCTAGGTGTCTGGACATGCTCAAACTTGCTGCCCTCCCAGCACTGCAAAAGAGTCGTCCAAAAGACGACCAGCATCATGCACTGGATTAGGCGTGCCTTCACAATCTTTCCTCCCGAAATTTCTCACAGGTATTCGGCACGTTCGTCAGACCGCGCTTGGAATACGGAATGCCATCATGGATGCCCTGGATGAAGAAAGACAGTGATGCCATAGAGCAGGTGCAACGACGGGCCACAAAACTGGTGGACGGTCTCAGGAATCTGTCATACCCAGAAAGACTGATCCAGTTAAATTTTTCCCCTTATCCTATAGACGAATGAGGGGTGACCTGTTGTGGACATTCCGCATTATCCACGGGCATGAGTGTTCGCTCAAAACCGACGACTTCTTTGAATTAACGACCATGAGTCACTTACGCGGTCATCCGTGCAAAGTCAAGTGGGAACGTACACGCCTAGACAATCGGAAGTTTTCCTTCAACCACCGTGTTGTTCGAACATGGAACTCACTCCCAAGTGATACAATCGCTTTATTTAAAATGCAGCTGGATCGTTTGATCTTTGACAATCAACGCCTTTTACAACAGGAATATCTGCGGCCAGCCATAAATTTCATTTCTTGATTTCATCCCTACTTAACACATCCCTGACTTTTGATGAAATTTCTCCTCTTAAACTTTGCAAATGACTGCATTTTATGCTGATTGTATATAACTGCACTTAAAATTTCATATGTTCACTGAGAAGACCGCCTGCCGCACCCTTCGCAGTCCCGCATTGTGGAAGTTTTACGTGAAAAAATATGTTACTGACAAGTAAGATGTACATTTAACATTTATATTTTATGTGCCGTTTTCAATAGGGTCATCAAGGGCATTGCCTTTTACCCTAAAATACACTATTATAGAATATCTCCGTTGGCTATAAAACTAGTAGACATGATAGTGATTGTGACATCAGCTAACACGAAAATCCAGGAAAACAATTGTTTAGGGAGAGGAACGTGTTGCAAATTTGGCGATTGACGGGCACGGATGAGAAGACTCAGCTTCCTCAAACGTCATAGAACTGTTCACACTGCGAACTTCTGCTGGGCATGTATCGGGATAGTAAGTCTATCTGCTGAAGTTGAAACTGCAGATGGAAACGTTTTCTGTTGTCCACAAGTGCTGACCTAGTCCTCAGTCCGGACATCTAGTAAATTGCAGTCCACTCGGTCGGGGCAATCTCTACCCTATGTGTTGCTACCTACGCACTAAATCGATCCATGGATCAGACGATGGACTTCGCTGAAGCTCATGATTTAAATCATTTGCGGAGATGTTTTTATGTTGAGGACTGCCTGATCAGTCACGAATCTGTGCAAAGCCTCCGGGAAGTGATTTCTCACCCAAACTCAACCCTACGATATCATGGCTGAGTTACTTGGTTGAGGTTATAAAAGGAGAACACTGGGTTTCGAAAAGAACACGGCTAAAAGCACCTTAAATTTCATTGCGAAGTGGCCTGCAGAAACGCCCACCAGAATTCGATGCTCTAATCTATCTCAATCCGCCATTATTCATTTGGTTTTGTTATTTCTGTTTCGTCGCCGACCAAGTTGCTGCTGCGACGGCTGTGCCCAGCCAACCACGAATGGGAGGAAAAGCATCGATTACGAGTAGACCCGACAACGCCCCCTTTGGTTGCTATTAATTGACCTATTAACGAATCAAAATATCAATTCCCATGTAATGACCTTGTGGTCGTTTTTGCTAGCATGCGCTTGATCACTTCAGTTCAGTAAACACATTCGATTGCACACTGTCTTGCCGGCAATTAATTTGATGAGTCACTGCGGCTGTGAATTACCCACTGCGAACTCCGCATAAGCGAATTGCCTTGGAGGAACTTCAATCTTGAGTACATCCACTTTGCCAAATTGAATGTGGGGCTGCCTTTTAGGGCAACGATTGGCCGAAGTGGGACATTTGCTTTACGGATTTTTGGCAGACCATAGAATAGAGCTAGAGCGGTGTCAGTTGCCCGCATTTGGTGTCATTCTTTCTCCGTGATCACAATTTTACGCCAATATTTTCTAAGCAGTTTACTCAGCCGATCTGCCACTGCTTTGGTAGATCGCGGTTTATGCAAAAGATCAGAAATGAGGAAATCCATAAGCCGACATCCTGGTGAGTCCGAAAAGCTATAGAATTACGCTGCATGCTGATCAATATTACAACACCGCCTAAGTAATCCTTCTTAATCGAAATCACATTTCAGAATTTCGACCAACATTTCATGGGATCGGTCACGCACTGTACGTCAGTGTGGTTCTCACAATAAACCTATGCATATCCTTAGAGTCGATCTGATTTCTACTTTTTCGTCAAGTAAGACATGTTTCACTTTTGCGATAGACTGGAAGAAACATATAAAAGATACAAGCAAGGAACAGTAAATGAATACAACAGTAGAATATTGGTATTAAAGCCTGTGGACGAAGGGAAAACGGTGGCGGCGTAGCGAATCTGAGTATATTCCACAGCTGAGACGTAGGAAGTTGAGAATCAGTAATAAACTGCCATTTCAGACAGTTTTCACATTATGGGCGGTGAAGTCATGTGTGCGTTTATGTTCACAGCCGTCTATGAAATCGAGTTGAGACATACAGTTCTGATTGTAGAAGCTCTTCAGAAAAAATAAAAACGTTCCGAATCGCCCTCCCATTATGCACACAAAAATTATTTTCTGAATCTGTGACTTTGGCAAGAGCGATCGAAAGTGGAAATCGCTTTCAATAGTACGGTAGACTGTTTGGTGAACACAGCTTGCTGAACCCATCTTTAAATGACAAATGGAACCTAGCTCGTCAAATGATAAGTGAAATAGCAACGTATGCAGATTACGCACAAACCTGAAAAAAATGTTGCAAACCCTGCCTTTAAACGCTAAGTACAGGGTTGGCTAGTTCGATAGGAATGAGGCAGTTAAAGTTTTGGCATATGGGAGGCGTATGGAGAGGAATTTTAGGGTTGGGCGCGGTGGAGGAGGAGGAGGAGGAGGAGGAGGAGGAGGACTGGAGGTTGAGATAGTTGGAGACTTAAGAAAAGGAATTAAGGAAAATGGGAAAGAGCTAGAGTTGAAGGCGAAAACGGATACTGAAGAGAGCAAGAACAAGACAAAACTGCGCTTCAATTGCCAAAATGAAACAACTGAATTTTAGATTACTTTTGGGACACTAACATTCCCAATGAAATGGTCCATATTATATTCTCCTCTACTATCAAGTGCCCGGATTTTTTTCGTAAAAATAACATCTTCGAGGTATGCACTGCGGATTCCGGAAATTCTGTGGAGACATCTCGATGATTCTTGTGTTAGGGCAGCCGCAGTCGTGTAGATTTTTTATTCCCGTTCCATTTTACTACTAACAGCTTGTTAGTAGCCAAAATGTATCGACTATTGTTCTTTACATATGCATTTTCATTGTACTTCTCTTCTCTAACCGCTCACATTTAAACGAACCACTTACTGATGACTGTCACTCTGATCACCTCAAATGTGTATCCCACCTACACTTCCCTATTCCACCCTGTGAACTCTGTTGTGTTCCATTCAATTCACCGTTTACTACTGTTAAAACCACGAAGTCCTGATATTCTTCGATGTGACGTCGTTATTCACATACGTCCCCTCGGATCTGGTGCGCGAAACGTCTTAAGGAAATGAGGAATCTCAGGGAATTTTGAAGATTTGACATATTATAAGCCAGTATCGCGGGAGCTAAAAAATCTGCCTTAATCCAGCAGGAGGTAATTTTTTTGCGTTATAACACGTTCTTCATCACCAAAGAGACATTGTTGAGGGACTTTTATAATCTACTCAACTCAATCTTCCCAGTCATGCAATGACGAAAAAGACCACGGAGCTTTTCATGTTTTACTGCAAATAAAACTGTGTGCGAACATTCATCAGATGGTCTGAGACCCATTGCAGTAATCCCAACGGAAAAAAGCAAGTGGGGCCGGATGAAAATCTTGAAAAGACGCTTCCACCTGTTCTTAACATGAAAAAGTCCGCACCTGAGAGCAGAGTTACTGTCCGGTATTGAGGTTCTCAGTCGCTTACACACATTTACTCACAACCAGAGCAGTGTGGACTATCATGCACCCACTCAGACGTGGGCATTCGATTACTAACTAATCTCAAACATCTAATAGTACCTCTTTTAATGCCTACTAGCTAAAGAGTATTCCATAGTTCAGAAAGTTCGACTCTAAAATATGTAGCGGCTGTGCCTTGGGTAGAGTGTGGTCGCACAGCGCAGATTCTGGGAAACCAGATTACTGCAAGGGCATGCGAGCACCGCATTAATCCTATAGCCTACCGTCACCAGGGTACCTCTCGCTGCCCAAAGTGCACATATCTTGGTTTACATCCACCACAATACTCTCTAAGTATCATAGGCTTTATTATAACTGATGTGTGGTTATACTGACTCGAATCAGAGAATATGCAAGATAGCAGAACGAGAGTTACATGAACAAGCGAGAATTTAGTCTGCGTTTCCCCGCTGTCTGGCATAGGCAAACTTCAAGATAGGATTCCCACACTTTCAAGTATAAATCCATGCGAATCCAACCCCATGAAAACGCTGACAAGCAAGATTAACGCGACGCTGTTGGCAATGGAGAACTCATGTGCAATATCGCCAATCGAGCGACGCATGGCGAGAGCACAAGAAACGGCCCTAGCCCGATTCAACGGTCTCCCAAAAGTGCACAAAGAGGGCGCTCCTCTCCGGTCAATCGCATCACTAAAGAGCACTCCAAACTACGGACTGGCAAAGTGGCTGTTCCAACGTCTCAAGTTTCCGACCTCCGATTCGAACACCACAGTCAGCTCGTCAACGCAATTCTTGGAGAAACTTAAAGGAGTAAGTCTCCTGCCAAGCGATATCATGGTTTCCTTTGATGTCACGTCGCTTTTTACTTCTATCCAGCGGTACCTGGCAGTCGAGACCATCGAACTACTCCTACGAGAGAAATACGACGAAACGGAGAATCGCCTCGGACACGCCCAAATCATCCAGCTGCTAAAGTTCTGTCTCAAGACGTACTTTACGTTCGACGGAACAATCTACGAGCAGGTGAAGGGAACGCCAATTGGTTTGCCGATTTCGGGACTCATAGCCGAGGCGGTCCTACAACGGCTGGAGTCGCTGGTTTTCCGACACCACAGACCGAAATTCTGGGCTCGGTATGTGGATGACACCTTCGTCGTCATCGAACGGGATCAGGTGCTGACTTTCAAAGAACAACTCAACGCCGTCTTCCCGGACATCCAATTTACGATGGAGGAGGAGGAAAACAATCAGCTGGCCTTCCTGGATGTCCTCGTCTGCCGCAAAGATTGTGGTGGCCTAAAAACCAAAGTGTTCAGGAAAGCGACAAATACGACGCAAATACTGAACTTCAATAGCAACCACCCTATCAGTCACAAACGCAATTGCGTAAGGGCGCTATACCGGCGTGTTGAGACGCACTGCAGTGAAACGGAAGACAAGGTTGCTGAATTACAATATCTTCGACGAGTAATGAGAGCCAATGGCTACCCGCGCAACTTTGTCAACTAGTGCATACGAAAAGGACACCAGAGACCAAATCCAACCGGCCCCAAATTTTGGCGGGCTCTTCCGTACGTGAAGAACGTCTCGGAAGCCGTCAGTCGTCTTCTCACTCCACTTGGAGTTGGGGTTGCACACAGGCCGGAAGCAACCATTAGGCGCCGAGTAATGAGGCCAAAAGACGCGCTGCCACGGCAGGACACGTCTGGAGTCATTTACCGGATCTGGTGTAGTTGCGGACAAAGCAATTATGTCGGAGAAACTGGGAGATTACTCCGTACGCGAATTGCCGAGCACACAGCAGCAGTGAGGCGGGGAGACACTAACTCTCAAGAGGCCGAAATCCTCGCAAGGGGTGACAACCGCGTGAGCTGCGGGCTGCTCGAGTCGTGGTTCTCAGGCCCGCAATCCATCAACAAACACAATGACCTCCCGGTACCATATTCCGTGCTGAGATTTTCCCTGAGCAGAAGAATCAGTCACGTGGGGTGGGTGCGGTTGAGCAATTATCACGGTGACAGTGAGCCAGTTTGCCGAGCAATCGTCACACCAGCATCCAGCACGGATGACGAAATCGGGGCAATTAACAACCCTGACTCGGACCGCCAAGCCACCGCCGCATCAATTACGACCCCAGCGGCGATTGCGAGAACTATTAATTGCAGTGCGCATACGGCCCCACGGCAGCCACGTGCTATAAATACTGCACTCTTGGTGCCACCATCACCTCTATCTGCGAATGTCTCTGATGATGGATTCGAGTGAGGATCCGAAACGTCAGGCAAATAAATTTCTTGTTCCAGTGATAGCATATTCATCTTCTGAACTGCTACCTGGAACTAGCCTGTTCGCTTCTATCAGCAATAGGAATATCTGTTTGCGGAAGAGGTAGCATAATTAAATAGATTGTTTTAGTCGACAGAAACTCAAACAAGCTTAAAAATGTCTTTGACATCAAGGAAATTAATAAGAACTCAGGTTAAGTGGAAAAACGACGCCATGGAGATTCAATTCCCAGCCCGCATGCAGCGGACATTCAAACTAATCGTCCGGAAACGACATTGTGCCTTTCATCAACTTCGCCAACAGGAAAGCCTCCTCCGCGAGCGCAGTATTATTCTTATCTTATGATCGAAAACCCAGGGCACAGGTAAATAAACTGGTGTAGCGCATTCAATGCACTAATAATTTTTAATTTTACGTTGGCCTTACGGATAGTTGACTTGGCGCTTACATTAAGGAGCACGTTCTGTGACACCCATTACGATCGCTTGTGTTTCGTCTTTGCCATCTCTCTTGAGTGGTGACTACCGATAGCTCTCCGTCTTTGTCAACTACGTCCACTGTGTGCTCCACCGTAGGGGTGGAACAGGAACGGCGACTTGCGTGTGAGTTAATTTATTACAATATTTGACATGCAGAGAATCTGGTGCACTCTCATTTCTCCCCCCATATGAGCCCAGTGCATGATTAGGTCATGAGGACCGGAAGCTGGAGGGGACGAATGTGGCTGCCACAAAGAAAGCCCGCATCTAGGCGCACCACCAAACCTTCCGGTCCAAAAAAACATTTCGCCAGTATTTTCAGCAACAAACAATATGAGGAGGGCGGATGGAACCACCAGTGGCACAGCGCGAGCCTGCATTTTGGCCTTCCGCCGTGCTCCAAATGCTGGCATTTGTTATGGGCGCGCATTATCAATAAAGTCTACCGGAATCCGATATAGCATCCGTGTTGGCCCTGCGCATCTACCGCGTGGTCCATTGTGGAGGCACAATGTGTGTCTACGGTTTCGTTTGTCGCGAGACTGGGTAATGTCTATGGCCAAGACAATACAGGTAGGGGAATTCCTCGAGGCTTGCCCCTCGCCTGACGACATCGTGGACTGGTTTATTGCTGCTATTGATTTGTATCTAATACCATAATACCGACAATGTCTAGGGAGACCAGGATGGTTGTTTCTGGCCTGTAAGCCATCATCAGCAAGTCGTATTCAACACCAAGGACGGATTACTTGAGATTCAAACCAGGGATCTTTGGTCATGAAGCTTGAAACCCTATCATTGCGCCACGGACCCTTTGTCTTGCCGGTTTTCATCGGGAATGTCAGTTATGACAGATGGGTGCTCACCGACCAAATTACGAAACAGGCTTGTTCCGTTGTGCCTTGGGGCTCATACAAGAACCCTCGCAGGCAATCGCATAGCGACTGGCTGTAGAGGCAAATGGGATGGTACCGACAAAGACAAGAGGGACCGAAATGGTCATTTCTGGCTTGTTAGCCGTCATCAATCAGTTATACCCAACCCCAAATGTGGATCATTTGGGATTCGAACCCGATATCTTTGGTCATGGAGTTTAAAACTGTCATTGAGCCACGGGCCCGGTCTCCCTTGTCTTTGTCCGCACTATCTCATTACGTCTATTACTAGTTGCTGTGCCTGAGAGGATTCTAGTAGGAGCTCCCAGGCACAGCGGAACGGTCATGTTCCGCAACCTGATCGATGAGCACCCATCTGCCATAACGTATATCTTTTTATTGTGTTAAGCCACGACTCTAAGAGGACGCAAAGCCACCAACTGCGCCTGCAGTTCGAAATATTCCGGTAGACGATAAGTGAGAATTTGTCATTCGCTGAAGAGTTCGGCACGTTTATCTGTAGTTATCGCGGCGAGGTTTGGTCCTACAGCTCCACTTGAGTGATACCACATGGTGAACTTTAAAAAAAGCTAAAGTGCAAGTGCGCTGACTTCGCAAACATCATGTATTTACATCTTTTCCACAATTTTCATCTTGCGAGTGACTGTTTCAGTGTGACGTGTGCTATACCCCAACCTCGGTTACCTCAGGAATCAGTTCACGCGCACTTTCCTGCGTGTGCTTCGAGCCCTGCTTGCGCCTTCTTTATTACCCCAATCCAGCTAGTAAAATTGTTCCAACGGTTTGAAACGCCGTCGGTTTCACTACAGCGTCCATGGACGGCAAATTACCACGCGCTTCCCACCATGGGCTTCCAGCTGTGATTGCATTCTCCTTCTTCCCTCAGTCCAGCTAGTGGCTCTGTCGGAGTGTGAACACGCCAATTTCATTCGCTTTCCTGCGCGTGCTTCGAGTTCTGCATGCGCTATCTTTCCCTGCCAATCCAGCGAGAGGCTAATTTATGTTTTTACCTAATATTGTTGCTACAATATAATCAGTTGGTATCACACAGGTGAGGCTGCAGAATAAATCCCCGCCGTTATCACTTAATTTATTTATCTGCAGTTACCACCAAATTTATTAATTGTCACTCAGGTATACTCAGACTCTCAGATTGTGTTGACGTAAAGTCTGAATCGCCATATATTTCCATGCAAAAATTATGATATATATAAAATTATTGACGGTTATCTGGATCTCGCTGTCACCTTATACTTACTAAAATCTTTGAAGAGAGATGAACGTTTATTCACAATCCACTGTTCGCTGTTGGACTCAAATACATTCAAAACCAGCCTTATGAACGTACCACAAATGGACTCGATTAAAAATCTGATATAATCAGGAGTCGCTGATGGATCAAAACGTGGAAGTAATATCGTTATCCACAATGTATCTCACGCGATTTGCGCGACACCATCAGTGCAGACACTTGCTCCTTCGTTTGCCCTCCACACCTGCATATCATCCACGAGGAAAACAGATATGAGTTAAAATGAAGCAGTCTTAGTAATCTTTTATATATAGATTGAAATTAAACTAATGCTATGTAATCTTCGGTTAGTCGAAAATTTTCGCAACTCGAGATCACTCATAAATACATATTTAACATTAATTCAAAGGCGTCAACTTCATAAAAGAGGCACTAAGTATAAACAATATAGTCAACATCCAGTGAGTAACCAATCTCACAAAGTGTTTGGCGAAATTATGAAATGCATTTTCGATTACGTTGGGTGACTTAGATGAGTTTGTAAGGTTGATCATCATGCAGCATAATCCTTTAATATTAAAGGCTTGCCAGAGTATTGCCTTTGAATGCACCTCATTTGGCTTTCTAAAAAAATTGAGCTCGATAAAATAACTACTAATGTCGTAGGCGATATTTCAGGCTGATTTTATAGAAAACGTGCACATAGTATGCCCTTATTTGAATCATTTGGCGGCAATTCACGTTAAATTTAGAGTTCGTAGTCCAATATAAAGTAGAGTACATTTTAAAAAGTTTTTACCTAGGAGATTGTTCAAGGCCGTTCAGTGTCTTTTCATGCAGTATCATATAAGCCCGTTTATTAATGATCCGACATAATTCGCATCCATAGCAAAATACAGTAGCCGGGCTTACTTATAAAATGCCGACCAAAATTGTAAAATGTGCTTTCGCCTCGAAAATATTAATCAAGTAGGATTGTAAAACTAATCACCTTACAGCATAGTTCTATTTTTATTTAGTTAACGCGAGGTGCCGGTTTTCGAACGAACATCTTTCCGACTATACGCAAAAACTAGACTTTGTAGAAAATAACTACTTATGTATGTAGCGTGGATTTGTCTCATTGATTTTCGATGCCCGTAAAAATTTAAATATTCTTCATGGAAAACATACAGGCAAATATCTCTTCTTTTAACGATTTGGTAGAAAATGACATTTTCCTCCACATATATGCTTGAAGGAAGGGTATAATTCAGTTTCCAAAAACTTTCCCAATTCTCAACGAAAATGAACTTTCGGTGGTGGTCATTCCTGTGACACCTAGTCGCAGAGGTTTGCTAATCAAACTGGCAAAGATTAGTGGTCCTTACTGACCGTTAGATGAAAGATGAACTTACGGAATCGAGTTTACTTAGATTCTGAGGTTTCGAAGAGCTTGGTTAACTTCACATTGTCAAAACTAAAAATCCATTAAATCGATCAGAAGTACCAAGTGGCAAGTTATGTTGGTCGACCTCATGCTGAGAGATTTTCTTCTACCCTCACGAGGTCGGCCGCTCGGGGCATGGTTGGCGGTCTTTTTATCTCTGTGCTTGG